CGAGCGGGGCGAGAGCACGCGAGAGCAGGGCGCGCGCCTCGCTCCCTCCCCTTCCTCCGCCGGCCTTGCCTCCGCCTCCCTCGGGCCCGAGGCGGCCGCGCGTAGGGCGGACAGCGCCGCCACCCGGTTGGCGCCAAGAACTGCTTCGCGGAGCGCCTCCGGGAGGACCCAAAAGTGGAGCCGAGGAGGAGGAGCCCGGGTGGCGGGAAGCGAACCCGGTCCCTGAGGCCCCGTGAAGGGACCCAGGAGGTACAAAGCTTTGCCGTAAGCCTCGGAGATGAGTTTGACTGTGGGGGTTATCCTGAGGGACGTGGAGACCTGGCTGAACGGCGGTTAGTTGGTGGAAATGACCTGATTCCCTGCCCAGGGGCAGGGAAAAAGCTGCACAGTGAGGAAAAGTTTGGCAGCACAGCACAACGTGGGCTGCTTTCTCGTTACTTCTGACAGCACCAGAGTTTGCCCTCCCCACTTTCGATTTCTAAAATTAATTATTTTGAAAGCTGTAAGATATGAAAATAGCATTGCGCCGAGCAGTTCTTTCACGAGGGACTGAAACCTAGGTGCCTGGGCTCTACTTCCAAATCTGGAGAACCAGGATCTGAGAACATAAACATTTCAACAAAATTTGGTAGGTGGTGGTTATGAATATGGAGGAACGCGTTTTCCACGTCTTTTAAGCATACCAAAGAATAACTTTTCTTTTATCCAAAGGGAAACCGTGTGCAGCCATGTTTGAGCAATTTGACGTCAATAATCGAAGCCCATGAAACCCCCGAGTTTGTGAGTAATTTCAGAAAACAAAGTTAGAAAAAGAATACAAAGAAATAGCATTCAGCTCTGAAACTGTCACTCACAGTTTAAAATGATATTCAGTTATTTATTTCAGTTATTCTTTTATAAACTAAGTTATTCTTCACTGTTCTGTCGACTTTTGTCCACACCCTTTCCTTGATTTTTCAAAATATGAAAGGTACTGCGCTTAATGAATTAGATTTCACTTGCTACACAAAGGATGCAAATGATCTTGGAATCTAGCATGGCACAGTTGCTGAGTTGCTAAAACTCTGCCCCAAATTGGTGGTTTGTACTTGGGTATTTAGAGTAGCAGGCAGAATCCACTTAAAGTTGTCTTCAGCCAAATTGACTCTTTTTTTCTTTAATCAGTCACACTTAAATAACCGCAGAGTAATGGAACAAGTGGGGAGGAAGCCCATGATCTAGGGTAAAGAACTATGGATGCTGTGGGAGTGGGTGTGGTGTGGTGGCATGTATCTGAGGTGTGATCCCACGCCTAAGGCATAGACAGAGTCGTTCCCTCAAAAAAATTACTGAGTTTACTTCCTTTCTTAAACATTTGTTACCACTTGCACAATATGAGAAACGATCGTTCGTTTGTTCAACAATTATTAAAGAGGGCGGACTATGTAGGCCATTGTTTTCAACACTGAGAAAAAAATGGATAGTGAGGAGGACAAAGATCTCTGCCTTCCCAGATGGAACTTAATTTATTTGGGAAGAGAGAAACAAAATAAACAAATCAATTGCAATGAAGGGAAATAAAATAGAGAAGTGGGCGGATACAGATTATATAGAACTTTTCGGATCTTTGGATCTTGTACTCAGTGAATTAGGGAATTATTGGAATGTTTTAAACAGAGAAGTTACAGACTGATGTTCTATGAGCTAGGTGACCTTGAACAAATTACTTAAACTTTCTGTGCCTCATTTTCCTCATCTGTAAAACAGAGACAATCAGTTTTGATCTTACAGGTTCATGATGAGGAATACATTAATTAACATTTGTAAAATTCCTAGAAAAGTAACCGGCACAGACTAAACTCTACATAAATCTCTACTTTCATATAACATGAAAGAATCACTCGTGGTTCCATAGAGAGGTGCCAGATAAGAACAGTAAAGGTGGTGAAAATGGTTTAAATAGGAAACAGAATAGGGCCTCCCAGGCGGCACACGGGTTTAAATTTCAGCACTATGAAGCAATTCACAGCCACTGTAGCACTGAGTTTGTTGCCTGTTCAGGGAACTGACCCATATGGCACAGCAGACCTCTCTTGTCTTGCTTCTCTGCTGCAGAAGTTTATTTCAGTAGATCTTCCTTCTCTGCTCCCCATTCTGCCTCTGGTGAATGCTCTCATCCTCCTGCACCTCTACCCTACCTTCAAGTCTTGTATGCATAAATATATAAATAAAATAAATGGTTAATAAAAAAGATGTAATTGACACATAGCATTATGTGAATTTTTAGGCATCAGAGTAATGGTTTGATATTTACACTTATTGCAGAATAATCATAGTAGGTCTTGTTAATATCCATTCACCACATAATTATAAATTTTGTTTTCTTGTGATGAGAACTTTTAAGATCTACTTTTTTTAGCACTTCTCCCACATACAGTGCAATATTATTAACTATAGTCACCATGCTGTACATTATTCCCCATGATATCTTTATTTTGGAGGTTTGTACCTTTTAACTACCTTCACTCACTCCCTGCCCCCCACATCTGGCAACCACCAATCTATACTCTATGTCTATGAGCTTTGTATATTGTTTTCTTTTCTCCAATTTCACATATTAGTGAAGTCACAGAGTGTGTATCTTTATCTGCCATTTTACTTAGCATAATTGCTATCAAGATACATTCATGTGGCAGATGATACAAAAAAGTTGTGTTCTTTAGTGACTTTTCAGTTCACATATGCAACAGTGGCCCTGGTAGTTTATATCATATGGTCTAGCTGCGCAGGAGGCTATACAATTTGGTTTTATATAATTATACTCTATGACATTCAGCAAGAGCAAAATCACCTAAGCATACATTTCTCAGAACTTATCCCCATTGATAGGTCACACAGGGTCCTCTCCTCATTTCCTTTATTCATCCATTCATTGATTGATCCTTGGGTTGTTTTCATGTCTTGGCTGTTGGAAATAGTGCTCCAGTGAATATGGAGATGCTGATGTCTTTACAAGTTAGTGTTTTTATTTCCTTCAATAACTTTCTAGAACTGGACTTATGACTCGAGTTAACTGTAATTGTTCTGAACAACCTCCATGTTGTTTTTCAGAGTGGCTGCACCAGTTTACATTCTTACCAACAGAGCATGAGGATTCCCTATTCTCCACATCCTCACCAACATTTTAAAGATTGATTTTATTTATTTATGCATACAAGAGTTGGGGTATAGACCAGAGGTCTAGGAAGAAGCTGGGGGTGGGGTGGGGAAGAAGGGGTAGGAAGATTCACCAGTGACAGAGTAGCAAGCAGAATAGGTAGACTGACATACTCTGTTCAGAGGAGCAGCCGGTGAGACGAGAGTCTGCCGCTTTGTGCTGTGTGTGGGTCAGCTCTCTGGCTGGGGATCAAACTTGTGCTGTAGTTAGTGGCTCACAAAAGCTTCATAGTGCTGAACACTAACCACTTGCGCCACCAGAAAGGCCTCCTCACCAAAATTTTTTTTTGATAATAGCCATTCTACAAGAAAATACTAGTAATAATGAATAGCTATACCAGAGACATTTTTTTTGGATATATCTATACTTTTTATTAGTTCATGAGAACTAATAATCTGACAGATTTCAAATTTTTTAAAATAATATAACAGTTTATTTTTACATCATTTTGTACATTTTTTTTTTCATCTCAGTTGTAATCCCCGTGGGTTTCCCATCACTGAGTCACCCATGTGCCATCACTATAGTCCTGTGCACTTCCCTCCCCTCCCACTCATTTTTGATCCACCCCCACAAAATGTCTCTGGCATATGGCTGTTCATTATTTTTATTATTTTCTTGCCTGGTATACCAGAGACATTTTATGGGGGTGGGTTGGGGAATATGATAAAAAACAGTGGGGGGGGGGAGTGCACTGGACTATGGTGATGGCACACCGGTGATTTGGTGATGGGAAGCCCATGGGGATTACAACTGAGGTGGAAAAGGGCACAAAATGATGTAAAAATAAAATATTATATTATTAAAAATGTATATTGGAAAAAAAAAAGAATAGCCATTCTAGGCCTTCCCTTGTGGCCCAATGGATTGAAGCACAGCACTGTGAAGATCACTGCAGCCACTTCTGCACAAGTTCCGTCGCTGGCCCAGAAGGTGACCACATGGCGTGGCAGACCTCTCCTGACCCACCTGCTGCTCCCCTCAGCAGTGTATTTATGGTAGTTTGTTATAATTGTAGTAGGCATACACAGAAATCTTATCTATTTTTTTTCTTATACTGAGTTAGTAGCTGCATGATAGCAAAAACATTTCTCCTGATAAATGAATTTCATCACTCTTATTTTTTTCCTTTTATACTGTTCTTAATAAGACATTTCCTGTTTTCCTCACATATCTTGTATATAGTTTTTCTCCTTTACATTATTTCCAGTAGCTTTATTTACATTTATTGGTTATAATCTTTTTCTTTCACATTTCTGCTTTATTTCTCCTTCTCCCTACATCTCTTTTATATACCTTATATCTCTTTTAACCCTTCTTCCCCATCTCCTCCCTCTTAACTTCAGGAACTTCACTTTGTTTATTAATGTCTG